CTGTGCCTCAGTTTGTGCCCATTGCCCCTTGTCCTGTCGCTGGGCACCACTGAAAAGAGCTTGGCCCCATCCTCCTGACACCCACCCTTGAGATATTTATAAGCATTTATTAGGTCCCCTCGCAGCCTTCTCTTCTTCAGGCTGAACAAGCCCAGCTCCCTCAGCCTCTCCTCGTAGCAGAGATGTTCCAGTCCCCTCATCATCCTTGTAGCCCTCCGCTGGACTCTCTCCAGTCCTCTTATTACTTCAGCTTTACGTATGCAAGGTATTCAGCCAAAACAAGGCACTTACATGGATTCTTCAGCTTGTTTCCTGGACTCCACTGCCTGCTGCTCCCTCAGCTGCTCTGCCACCTGAGCTTGCCGCTCAATCTCACTGAAGCTCTGGCTGCTCACTTTCTGGGCTCCAAGGCCTTTTTTTGCACCCAACTTGAAAAACAAAACCAAAAAAAAAAAAAGTCATTTTTTCCACCCTAGATTATTCATCGTAGAAGATGACCAGAATCCTACTCCTTGCTGCACTGATCAGGCCCTCGGTCTCTCTATGCACTCATAACCTACACACCCATAGAGCTTGCAACAGAGTATGGAAAAACACGCAACAGTGAACCCACCAGTGGGCAGGACTAAAGGATCAGCCACTTACACCTCAGATCATAACCAGTAATGATCCAAAGCCTAACTGGTTTTGTCCACTAATATACAACTTATCTTTCAAAATAATCAGTAATATAATCAAAGCTCTCCCTTCCCCAAACAGCGCTCTCAATACGCAGCTTGGCTAAGAGCAGAAAGCAAGGGCCAGGACGGCAGTAATATGATACATGGCTCTATCTTCTCTCCATAAAGCAAGAGCTCAGACATACCCCTTTCTTGGCAGCTCCTGGCTTCTTCTTTCCAATGAGGGAGGATTTAAGTTCTGCAAGAAGAGGCAAGCAGCAAGTAAGCAAAAGCGAGTTAAATTCAGAAGCCAAAATTAGTTAGCAACCCACACGAACATCCACCACAGTCCAGCTGCTACAGAGACCGGGGCACACCATGCAGCTTCACATCAGAAGCCTGAGTGACTTCACCCAGCCAAGACAGATGCACTTAGAAGCTCCACAATTGCAGGCTGGTGGCCTAGAGAAGCATGTCCATCGCTGGAGAAACTTGTAAGTGAATTAAGACCTTTGAACAGCTCCTCCAAGTGTCATGCGGTTTGTGACCCTATCCAGTAGGTATCAGGGTAGCTGGAGAAAGACTAGATTTATTCCATTCATAAATCCAAGAAAATGCAGCTTCAGAGCCATACGAAGGTCAGTGCCTTACCAATGCCTTAGGGACAATGAAGCAAGAACCCTAAAGTCACATTTGTAAACCAATGATAAAATGGACCTAAAGTGCAGCGAGCTGTAAAAGCAACAGGTTCCCCAACACCTTGCACCAGGAACTTGTCACTCTGAGGGCATGAAGCATGCCACACTTGTAAAACCAGCCAAGGTCCAGCCAAGCAGCAGATGCCTGGGGAAAAGTGTAAGAACAAAGCAAACAGAAGGACTGCCCAGGACATTTTCCCAGCTTCCAACATGTAGCTCCAAAATCTTTTATTGCCCTTGTTGCGCTCTTCTTCCACAGAAGTGTCTCCTTACTTTCTACACCCACATGACTTTTGTCAACCCATACTTCAGATCATTCTTGACAGCCTTTCCTCTACTATCTTTTCTAGTCTTATCGTAAGTTATTGAAATAAGGGCATTCAAAACATTCACGCTATCCAAGACTGTTTTCAGCTCGCCATTCCTAACACTTGATTTGGGGTTGTTTGGGTTTTTTTTAATTGCTGTCAGGAAACACTTAACAGAAATGTCAGTAAGATCCCTTTCCAGAGAAGCAATATCTGGTTTAGATCCCAATATGGTACATGTAAGCTTTGGCTCATTCTCTCCCTCCAAGCACAGGAAGCTAGAGTTGAAGGCAGAATCACAGAAGGGGCAAGCAGAGCTGTCACAAGCAGCCAGCGCAGGCCAGCTGTTAGCCAGTTACCTCTGGCAGGAGCCGGCCCTTGCGTTGACAGATACATGGACATGTCTGAGGAAGAGACATAAAACATGGGGAATGAACAGACACCTGAGGACACAGACCTTCCACCCAGGATGAACCCACTGTGGGCTAGGAGCACACTCTCAATAAGGAAAGAAGCTCCAGCAAGATGCTCGGTGTGCAGCCAGGACAGCAATGGCAGGGGAGAATCAGATACAGATCCCTATTACTCTGGAAGCTAAAAGTTCATTTGCCTCCAAAGGTTTGGGGGGGAGGGGGGAACCCCAAACCGAGAAACAAACACCACAGCCACGTGGCCTTGATCAGCTGAGTTCTAGACATGCAAATACCAAGTTTTGTCCAAAGCTCAAAAAATGGAAACAAGCTTTTGGGAAGGTGACAGCTTTGAACTTGATCATCCAAAGGAGGAGAGAACCTCCAGCAAACTGTGGCTTAGTTTTGGGGTTCAGGGAGATCCTCAGTACTGGCTCCGCAGGATGATAAGCTCCTTTACACGTTCTGAAAATTGGCTCATCAGTTCCCGCTCCACTGAGCTTACTACTGTAAGTATAACAGTATAAGTAACAATAAGTATAAGAGCAAGACTGATCTGAGAGATACAGAAGAGTCTTACTTACCTAGAGGAGCTTTAGGAGATGTGCTCAACAAGTCAATAGATGGGCCTTGGCTGGAACCTGTAGGCACAAAACCAGAAGAGAATATTCAGCAGAGAGATTCTCAACCCCTTTCTTTTCAGTTTGCTCAAAGTTCCACTATATCTCTTCCACCTCCTCTGCCCTTCCCCTCCCCACCCCAGACAAGCTCAGTTACAGTTTGAAACATGCAATTCCCAAGCACAACGACTTTACGCCTCCACAGAGCAAGTTATTCCCTCTGCAGTGTTCTTAACACATTAAAAGAAAGCAGACACTCTGCAGGGGAATACACAAGGCCACTTCAATTATAGCTATGCCCCCAGATTCTTGGTTTCTTTGTCATTCACCCTAGAAACAGTTTTTTGCTCTATATTCACACGTCATTTCCAGACTCACCAAACTGAAGGGATAGAGAAGAGTGTTTAGACAAATAATTATGTCTGTAAGGAGGGAAACAGGGCAGGTAATCCCCAAAAGTTTTGTGTGCATTTCAGGAAAAGCGGAGAACTGATCCCAAACAGAGAAGTGTTTTTAGAAGTCTCCACTAATTTAACTAAACATCATAGGGTGCATAGAGCTTCCACTCCTTCAAGCCTGAACCAAAGGAAAAGCTCAGCCCTTCCAGCTGTGGTACAGAAGAGTATTCTCCTGGAGATGAAGTCAGGTTCTTGGGAAAATTATTCAGCAGGGAACTCACTCAACACTTCACTGCCTTCTGATGATTTTGCTGCTTTTTCCGCCTCCAGGGAAGACTGTGCAGGGTTCTGGCTGGCATCTGCTACATCCCAGGTACTGGAAGACTGCAAGGAGATGTTCATTCCAGTGATTTGCAGGTGAATGAACTGAAAAATCCTGAACTTATTTCAGGTTTAGTGACCTGTATTCAGTTTTAGGCCAATGGAAATGTGTTCCAAACTCCACACTATGCCTTCATTGAAGATACGACAACTTATGGACAAGCCCACATACCCTTATCAGGGACAAAAATTGAAGGAAAAAAAAAGGGAAGCTAATCTGAATGGAAGACCAGGAGGAACAACTGCATCACTTGACAGCAGTATCAGAACTGGCTACTGCGAGGACTTCCCAGGTTAAGGAGATGAGCTTAGATCTGGGAGAAAGTGCAAATGAGTTTCCCTGGAAAAAAAGAATCTTGGCTTCCACTGTCTTTGTTGCCATACAGCCAATTCTCACATTGCAATATTCACTTAAGAAAGTCTGCCTAGCATTGTGCAAACAGTTGCCCAAATCCACTTTACCAGGATCTATGCACTGGAAAGCTGACTAAACCAGAATTTCAAAGTAATACCCAGTTCTTGCTTTAACTGTACAAAGAGACTATGCATTAATGCAGTACACAGAGCATTTTCCAGGGAGCAGCTGGCAGCTCTGAGCATTCCTTGCAGAGAAAGACAGTCTCAAAAGCAAAGGACATGGCTACTGCAGGCCCCATGAGGGACTGTTTAGATCTCCGACTATGTCCCAGGCAGATGACTGAATCTCAGTTCTTCCATGTTACCAATGAACGGGTATACAGTTCAGAGGCCTTCCAAACTAACTGGGACTGCTCCTGGCTGAACAGCTGGCTATCTGAGAGCCGTTAAGGCTGCCTGCTTTAGACAGGTCTTCTCACCTGTGTGTGCTCCATGAAGAAATCAGCATCGCTCTTGTCAGGGGAGTGCCCAGGGGCTCCACTCAGTCCATCTATAAGCAGCTGAAGAGAGGAGAGGGATAAAAGAAGATATCCTACAAGACTCAGCATCCAGCACTACACATCTCACAGTACAGAGCTGCTCAGACTTACATCAGTGCCATACTTGGCCATGGCAGCACTTGCCAGCTGTCGGATCTTCTCCCTGTACATCTGGGCAGCTCGACTGTTATACTTAGCGTTGGCATCTGTGGTAGTGCAGCCATGCTGGCGGAAGAAAGCAGTCTGAAAAGAGAAGAACGTTCAGTCTCCTGACTGCTAGATCACACTCAAGCAAGCATTAGACGTAACTCAAACTCAACAAAAAAACGAAGCCTCCTACAGACAGGGGATGATATACTGAGCATGCAGCATGAACCAGCCATCCATTGATCAGCTCTCTCCAAGAAGTCTTACTCCAGGCCCCAGAGACCTAAAAAAAACCATCCTTGTCCTCCACAGGAAGATGCTTCTGAGTCACTATGCTGAGGATGAGCTTTCAAACTGATCAGTGTTACCAACTCCTTCAGTTTAAGAGGACTATGTCCCTTATTTAAATGAGGTATACAAAAATGACAGATCTGCCCATCAGGAAGCAGTGCATTCAGAGGTCACAGCCTGACTTCCAAGCACACCTGACCAGCACCTCCCCTCATTACACATTTCCAAAAAAGATGGAAAGGCTGGTACCCAGAAAGCCACACGGAGGAAAGGGACAAGAAACGGAGGATGTGGATTAGCAAGAGGGAAAGCAAGCAAATATGCCTACAGAGGCTCCTCACCGCGTTGGCGTTGCTGCCCACTTGCATACACCTCAGCTGGAACCAGTTCCAGTTAGAATCCAACTCTGTGGACCTGTGCGAGGACAAATTATTTCTATTAATAATGTGCAGTCATGCCAAATGCAAAAGCAAGCCCTGAGCTAGAACAGTCAGATATCCCACTACCATCTCAGAGTATAGGAGGCAAAGCGGTAAAGAACATCTTGGCACCTTCTTTGCTCTCATACGAAATTAATTTGAACATTGAAAGTGAGGAAAAAAAAGTTTCACCTTCACACCAAATAACAGTGTCGAAACTTAGAGGATTTCTCACTCGTATTGCTTAAGAGGGAGGAGCTTCAGCTGAGAAAGCACAGCCAACAACTTCCAGTCTGCATGTGATCTCACCACAACACGAGAGACTCGCACTCCGCCAGTCCCACAGCTTAGGTCAGAACACATGACGAAGCAACTGAGGAAACCAGCAAGTAAAGCCAGGTGACAGAGCTGGTCGCGTACCAGCTACTCAACTTCTCTCTGAATAAGTAAAGGTCACAGTTCTGTGACTCAAAATGCTGCCTTTTACAGAGTACCGAAAATAAGACCAACGGGCTGAAAATCCAACACCACCTTCCTCCCTGGGTTGGCACAGAAAAGACCGCATGTTATTCCTCTTTCGCGTAATGCCGAGCAAACCAGAAAGAGTTTGGTATTGCTGCTTTGCTGGCAGGGTTCACGGACCGCTCTCTCCTCTCGGCTTCCGCAGCGGGGAGTCCAGG